CCAACTTTAGGATCTCGTTACTTATCCCATCGATTCCAGGCGCCTTGCCTGTTTTCAATCTTTTGACTGCTTTTTGCAGTTCACTAAGTGTGAAGAGTTCTTCTTCTTTGACTTTGCAAAAACTCCAGTCCCTTCTGAGGTATGGCTCTGCAGGAGGAAACAAAGAATTTATTATCTTTCTGACCCAATTGGGATTGTCCAGGCCGGGGGTCTTTTGCCTCGTCGCTAATTTCTTAGTAACGATTTTAAAAGCCAGACCCCATGAGTCCTTATCGACTTTCTCGATTAGGTCCTTCCAGCTACGGCGTCGCGACTTGCGGATCTCTTTCTTGAGGTTCTTTTTCGCCTCCTTGAAAGCCTCTTTGAGCAAGGGATCTCCCTTAGATCGGGTATATGTCCTTCTTGCTTTGAGGCATTCCTTCCTCAAGGAGGCTAGCTTCTCTGACCACCAGTGCTCTGACTGCTCGGCCTCTTCACCCAGCCCAAGTCCTCAATTAAAAGGGCTTCTCTTAGGGACCGGCCAAACTTTTCCTTGTCGAGTCTCTTCATATTCCACGAGGAGGTTTTGCGACTAGGAGCATCCTGTCTTTTTCCTCCTCGTGTGTCTCCTATCGAGACTAAAAACTCAATGTACTGGTGTTCACTTGCGGTATATTCCTCAGAGACCCGCCAGTCGGTTATGCGGCTAAATAGTTTAGACAATGCGATTGTTAGATCTATAATTGATCCGATCGCACCTCGTCTAAAAGTCCATATATTTCTCGGTTTACAGCTAATAAGTCGTTTCTGGAGATCATTTCTCCAATACGAATTCCTCTCTTGTCGAGTCTCGTCTCACCCCACTCTAACGACTTTGCGTTAAAATCGCCAGTGATGATGACATCCAGCCTGGATTCTGTGAGGCTCGTTTTTAGGTTTTCGATATTGGCTTCGAAGTTTGTCAGTGGGTCGTTGGGTGAAAAGTAGCAGCTATACATACGTATATTAGCTACCTCTATCCACACGAACCCACTGCTCGTCTCCAGAAACTTGTCAACCCGCAATTCTGGGTTGCACAGCTTTATGGCGGCTCTCTTCGCCTTATCCTGATACCAAGGGGCGAGATCGCTTCCTTTATACTGCTCACTGCAGAACAGGATATCGACCTCATTTTCCCTTGCTGTTTGCAATAGAAGCAACTGTGCATCCTTACTTGTATGCAGGTTGACCTGCAAAAATTTTAAGGATTTGCCCTTTTAATCTTTTGCAGTTCTTCCCTGTAAACCGGGCAGGCTCTTTTTCCGGAATCATGATCCGTTTCTGGCTTCCCCAGGTCCAAGCACGTAAGCCACTTCGACTTAACGACACAGCTCTTCGCGAGGTGTCCCTCTCCGCCGCATCTCCGACAGTTTTTGCTTCTGTCGGGGCCTTTGCAGGTTCGGGTAGAGTGTCCGTAGGCTAATCACTTTTGGCACCTAGCTACTTCAACATGCTCGCGAATTAGAGCATTTATCCAGCCGATTTTGATTCGGCCAAGTTTAAGCAGAATGTCACTTTCTGCTTCTGCCAAGCGGATTAGAGCAACCTTAGTTCCTCTGTAGCGCGGCAATAATTTGCACTCCATAGTCAGGTCGGATTTACCCAGCTTTTCTTTCAATGCTGAAGTCACCTAACTCTCTGTAGTGGCTTCATCCAGGTCTTTGATTTCTAGAGACCTCTTATTTACTAGAGATATGACCTCGGCCTCGCCATGCCATACTCTCATAATATTTTGGGCTTCTTGCCGTGATCTTTACCGCTTCCGTGGTTCTAAGCTTTAAAGGGTGTTTTGAGAGCTCTTTTTTCTCGCCTAGGGGCTTTTTTCTTGGAGGCCGTTCCCTTCTCTTTCCAACAACCTTAAAGCCGTCCTCATTGTCCGCTCCGTCTTTCAAGACCTTCTTTCAAGGCCTCATTGGCCTTGGAGTTCCTACAGCTGGAGTTCGTGGCTCCTGATCCCTGAACGGTTCAGGGATAAAACGCAGATTCATACAAATTGTAAAAAACGCACCCTCTAAAACCGCCACGCCATCCTGGTTGTCACGACTGACGTTCTTTTGGCGTTTGAATGCTTGACGCACACTCTTGAAAATTCCGGGAATAGCCAGAAACTGATTTGCGACATTTGATTCGTAGCATGTAGCATGTTTAAAAAATGTCATTCCGTATGTGTGTGTGTAAACATCACATTTTAATAAATATCTCGAAATCATAAAGAGCATTTGGGCTGAATTTTTTTTTAAATTGTAGATCTCACATGCGAACATAAAGCGAGAGTACTTTCTGATATATTAATAAAGTTTAACTAAATTTTTTTTTATTTTTAATTTTGCAAAAAAACGTTTTTTGCCGATAACTTTAAAAAAATGTTAGGACACCTATAAATGTTTTTTCATAATTTTGTAGAGTTTTATTAGACGCATCTTTCGAGCCAAAATTGAACATTTTTGGTACATATCAACCGGAGTTATTAAACTTTTAAAAATCAAAAATTTTGGAAAATAAGACTTTTTTGAAAATTTTGTTAAAAAACGTAGAAGTAACTTTAAAATTATCGTTATTAACTTGTAGAGCATTAAAAAACGCTTTGATTGACCTATTTTTTAACCTAATTCGATATTAAATTTCGAAATTATTGATATTTTAAAAACCAAAAATTGTAAAAAATGACATTTTCTAATCTTTTTTGTTTGAAATTTTTTTTAACTATTAAATTATTGTAACTATCTTGTAGGGTACTTAAAAATACATTGATTGACCCAAAATTCAATCACTTTTACCATATTTATAAAAAGTTATTCATATATTTCTATTATTTTAATCTCTATAAGGAAGTAAAGTGTTCATGAAATGAGCACCAAAATTATAAAAAAATATACAACTTGGCAGCGGTTTTTTTAAAAATGTTTGAATACGCTTAGAATTTTTTACTCTGGGGTTTTCGGGGTCGCTGATTACAAATATATTGCCAAATTTTTAAAATTCAAAATGTCGGATCCAGTATGTCGAACTATTTGTTAAAAATCAATTCAAATTGCCTGAAACTCGTTATTTGAGGGTTATTGGGATCGTTGATTATAAATCTAACCAGATTTTTTATTTTGACATAATATTTGTAATTAGCGACCCCGAAAACCCCAGAGTAAAAAATTCTGAGCGTATCCAAACATTTTTTAAAATAGTTGTATTTACTGACAGTGTGAGTCCATTTTTATGCTTATAACTGTTAAAAAATCATTTTTGACGATTAATTTAGTTTGTTTGATGCCTTGGATGTCCATGATGAAATCCATGATTGTAGAAACTGATAATTTCTAGCTAAATTATGTCCTTTTTATACCTTGACATATCCCCCCACTACTGAAGTAGTGACGACTAGAATAAATTCAAATTCTAGTCGTACATCTACAGAAGCTTGTTTAACGACGTTGGAAGGTCTCTGAAATTTCTAGGTTAAAAAACTAATTTGTTTTAAACACAGATACTTTTTACAAAATATGCCTACGACTTATTTTGTAAAAAGCGTCTGTGATTAGAGAAAAATTGGGTAGAAAATGTTTGTTTACCTACTTTAAGTCATTTAAACCACAAAGTGCCGTTTTTGTAAGGCGATAATCGGAGGTTTACGTTACCTAGTTTTACAGACCTTTTAACACCGTCAAGAAATTCATTTTGCTTTGTGAATTTAAAAATAGTTTAAAATTTATGAGATTGCAGTTTCAAAAAAATTTAAATTATTAAAAAAAAATTTTTTCAATAAAGAAGGCATTATTTTAATCTCAAAAATTAAAAAGTTACATTACACGCAACTCTATGAAAAAATATGCCCTCACTTTTTTAATCATATCTCCGAAATAAAAGGAGATACAAAAAAACTTAAATACCTACGATAAAAAGCTAATTAACTTTTGCGTAAAATAAGCGGCCTTTGATGTCATTTCGTTAACAATTTTTTGAGTTGTAGAGTGAGAAAGAAATATAAAAAATTATCAAATATTCTAATTTTGGTCTCTTAACTTCAACTTTTTTGAAAATCCATAAAAATTTAGATAATTTTTTTTAAACACAGAAATCTTCGTTAGAATTTCAGCTTGAAAATAAGGTTTGAAAAATTAAAAAAGGTTAATCCGCCTTCGATTTATCATTAAAAGTGTGAAGCCGTGTTGCGACCGATTGGTGCATTGAAATTCAACTGTGAAGACTCGATTTTTGCATCGCGCGGCTGCGAATGAGAGAGAAAGCAGGGACGAATTCATGCGGGGGAACGATGAACTTTCGAGTTTCTTTATATTTCTAATGAAACATCATTATTTATTATTCTTCAGCAAAAATCCGTCCTTGTTTTCTCTCCCATTCGGTCTCAACACAGCTTCACACTTCTAATGATAAATCGAAGGCGGATTAAAAATTCAATTAGCTTTCTAACCGTATTTAGGTTTTTTTGTATCTTTTTTATTTCATAGTGCGGTAGTGTAATTTATTTAAACAAATTATATTTTTTAAATTAAAATTTTAATCATTTATATAAAGTACAATTCCTCATCTATCTTTTATTAAAATCGGTTCATCCGATCGCGAGTAATTGGCTATTTACTAAAACGCTACAAATAACTTTGACCTTTAATAACTTTTGCAAATATTCGAATTCCGGAAATCTATTTACAGGTTTTTATTATACCATCATAGGCTATTGAAACATATAAGAATGAGAAAAATCCACATATCAAAAAAATTTAGGGTCCCACTTCAGGAATTCTTACCCGCAGTTAAATTTATTAACAAAATGCTTATACCAATAGTAATTGTTAATTTTTATTAAGGAATACAAACATCATGGATACAAAAAAATACAACCACCGTGTATACCTCATGCGGAAAATAGCTTTTCCGACGAGTTTGATTGCTGCTCATCGCGACGCTCGAATATCAACTACCAAACTCGTTGAAACAGATTATTTTTTCACCGGTGCACAATGTACTATTACCTGTACTTTAGTTGGGGTGAAAGAACCAGGAGGTGGATAAACAAAGAAACGTTTTGTTCTCAAATTGTGTGATGATCCATGCTCGAAATGAGGAAAAAATAATAACAAAATCACTACTGGTATTACGACGTGAATTTTATTAGTAGAACACATTTTTAACTTTTAAACGTTAAGAAATTATAATCTAGTTTTCCACTGTTGAAATGTTACTAAAGCTGCACACAAGAAACTAATTTTAAATGCCACTTATCAGAGGTACTAACAAATTTATTAGCATAAGATTGCTACAAAGGAAGTAATCTCTAGGTCTAAGTGATAATTTGCTTACATACCATCTTATCTTACATATATATACACACACGATATATATTGGCTATTCCATATGTATTTTTGAAATTTTTGATTAGTGAATGTTGTTTCTGTTTTTAATGAAAACAATGTTTTAAAAATTATTAATGATAATAATTATTTAGGTTATAAAAACTAAATATACTGCGACAACAGAGGGGAGTTTTTTTGTGTCGATGAACACTGACAAACTGAAGATCATTTTAAAACTGATTATTTTCTTTTTTTCATTATTTAATGCATTAACCATAACTGTAACAAATATTTTACTTTATTCTTGATGAATCAATTACAAATAAAAAATAAGTAGATATTACCCCGAAAAAGATTGTGCCATGTTTGCTGTAAAATTATGCCAAGATTGCTGTCAGCTTGTATGTTTAGAATTTATTTTTCTGTTATATAGGGGAGAGTAGGCTACATTGAATAAGAGTCAACAGTGAACCACTTCAATTTTCTAAGAAATGACTCAGTGAAATTTTTTCTTATTCAATATGTAAGTTAGTATTACCGAGACAGACTATGTCCAAAAATTTCCGGTAGGTAGGTTTATTATTTACAAAGAAAAACTAAAAAAACTGTTTTTCACGTACAATACAAAAAATTTAGTGGAATTATAATGACGTTTTTTGATTGAAATAGGAAGTTTTAAAAATTAGTAAACTTGTGATTTATTTTGCCTAGGGTGTCAACTTCAATATTCCGATGTGATAAAGAATTTTAAATATTACATAAATTTCTTATAAACAATTTTCGTTGTGAATGTCATGTGTATACAGTGAGTGCGGCATCATTGAACCACCCGAATTTACAGCATACTTTAAATTTTAAGAGTGGTAAAGTTGTCTGCTCTTCTAACTAGTAAGAAAAATACTGGAAGACATGCTTTCATTACAATTGTCAACGTGAAAAACTTAAACTGTCACTTTGCTACCTAACCTGACATCAAAACATATTAATCTCCTATATTAACAACAATTTTTTATTTTTTTGAGTGGAAAATAAGATTTTTTACAATGTGTAAGTGGAAATATTATTTTCGAAGTAAATTGTAGTGTTTTATTAGAGGTGCTTCAATGAAGACACACATCCTTCAAAATAAGAAAAGTGTAACTAGTTAGAAAAAAATTAATTTCATTATTTAATCATAATAATTTGTATTTGTAACGTATGTATTAACTAAAGGAGTACTTCAGTTTTATTTTGATACAAAAACCTGATCAAAATTTGTAAAATTTAATTAGTTCTTAGACTTTATAAAAAACCTGGTTCAATGTAGCCTACTCTCCCCTATTTTAAAAAATCCTGCTTTTACTGCAAGAAGTTTCATGTAATTCAAAAATTTGGATTTTTCTTTAAATCAAAAGAAACATTGTTACTACTTTTCTCCTTCGCGAATAATATCATTCAGATCAATTGGCGAATTATAATACTTGTCAGATATGTAATAAATTGAGTTTTCCTTCAACATGTACATTTTTTATATTTACTATTTTTATTATTGTTTTGTTTTATTTTAATTTTCCATAAACTTTTTTAAATTTTTTTTAATAATTATTCTATTAAATTAAGATTTGTTTTGATTTCTGTATAACAAACTTTTATTACTTACTTTTGTCACTAAATATTTATCAACCGGAGCTTCAGAAGGGAACTGGTGTATAATTTCTACGGACAGAGTCTTTGATTCCTTAAGTTTGTTAACACTTGATTTTCGTTTCAAATAAGTTGTAACCTTTTAAAAATTACCCTCGTCAATGTTTTCATTATTTTTAATTGTACACTTTAACATCGAGTACGTTGACTATAACGTTGGCGGTTTAAATTTTTATGCTAACTCCATCAAATAGGCCAAAAATTACATTTCCGTATCAAGGGCGCAAAATATGTGATTGGGACGATGGCGAGATTAAGGGACCGAGAGGACACAATTTCGCGGCCGAGGGAGCGGAAGTGCCCCCTCGGTCCCTTAATCTCGCGTAAGTTGTAATCACCTTTGCGCCCATGTTGCCAACGTAATTTTTTGTCCAAACTGTGTGAAAAGTATGACATAGAAGGCACGAGCAAAAACTTTTTCTCCCGCTTGTGTGACGTCAGCGGGCAAAAATCAGTTACTTTGCGCTCGCCTTAATTGCTTAAAATGATTTACTTTTCGTGCAGGTAGGAAAAAAAATTTTTCTTCCGCTGACGTCACACAAGCTTGCGGAAAATAAACTTAATTATAAAAGAATAATAAAATAACAAATACAAATAACGTACCTAACAATAAATAATAGGAAATAAATATAATAAAATATTAATCATAATGTTTTGTATTATCCATTTCATTTAATTAATTGGCGTTAAGCCAATAAGAACTCTACTAGAATGACTACAACTGTAACGAGTGTTCTTATTGGAACAAACATTGCAAGCACGTTTTGTTTTGTTAAACGCTTGTATTCATAAAATGAATAACATCATAATGATGCTCACGAAACCAAAGAGAATATAATAACGAATACGAAACTCCTCCGGAAATAAAAGAGTCAGTAAAGGAAGCGCAACAAAATGTTTTGCCATTAAAGGAAAAGCACAATAATTCGTACTTAACCTTCAAAGCTTGAGCAAGTTCAAAAAGTTTTAAAATTATTAACGAAAATAACTAGTTTGTTTCTCTTTAAACAGCATTTTGCATATCGGTGACCACGATTTCTAAAACAACTACTACACCGATATTTTTTGTCAAAAATAAATTTTTAAAATCCTTGTATTAAAGACTAAATTGTCTTCTACTTTAACAAAATTCGATTGAATTTTGTGTTTCTGATAAATCAGGTCCTTGTAATGGTGGTCACCGCAAAACATATTTCATATGAAGACCTTGACGAGATCCAGCATCACAACTGTATTTTTAAATATTTTTTATGAGAATTTTTAGTTTGAGTAGTTTCAGTTTACAGAATAATTTGTTTTATTTAAAAATGTTGGTTGTTTTTCTTAAAGAAATTCATAAAAATGATCAATTTTTACGGGATACAGCTAGGATTGTCCCCTCATCCCCTTAAGAAAATCCCAACTTGGCGGCGAAAAAATGCTTTTATATAATAGGGGGTTATATGTATATAATAATTGGCATTTTATTGTGAGCCTTTGGATTGCCTTTGCTTACCACATTAGTCTGACCATTTGGACCATGTTGGGACCTAGGAAGGACCACAATATATTTTTATTGTTGAAAAACTGTTACGCATTAAATAAAAACCCTATTATTATCAGGGACTTTAACAGAAATTTCTACACTGGGTGAGAAGGGGGGGGGACTATGCATAATCATTGTGTGCTTAATATAATGAAGAAATCAGCGAAGCAGTGAATCCAATTAAAACTTTCTCTGCAGCTTGTCAATAACCAATTTGCATGGAGAAAGTGCTCTTTTATCGTTGTTTAATTAAATTTCGAGTTTTCGACGCAAGAGCAAGAGAGAGAATGAGAAAGAGAGGAAAAGAAAAAAGTTGTGGCTTGAATTAGTTTCAATTTTCAATTTGAGAAGTTTATCTTTTGCTTGAAAAATAATCCAAAGGACTGACGATGCACTCTGAATAGAGTGATTTACACATTCCATTCGTGGCATATCCTATGAGTTCCGCTGCGTGATATTCGCGATCCGAATAAACTTCGTATTCCTCGAAAGTTGTCGATGGCGTAAAGAGAACGTGTACAAGTTCTCCTAAAAGCCCGTGTCCTTCTTTGAAAGGTGTTTCAGCAGCTTCACAAACCATACGCAACAGACATGCCTTTCCTGATCCAAAAGTTTGAAATGCTCTCTCCAATATTCGGTAAAAATTCCATCTTGATAATTTACCTAAATTATAAAAAATAAAAGTAATCAAAAATTAAAATATTCACTAAGTTATTATTGAAACAAAATTTTTTTATTCAAAGCTTTCATTAAATAAAAGATTCTATTTATGGGGAATTTTCTTTAAGGAAATCTATGTTAAATGTACCTAATTATTATTTGCGACTGCAGGGACCTTTACTAACTACATTTGTCCAGGTAAAAATGATTCTTATGAAATTCGTTTAGAAGTAATACAGAAATCGTCTTAAATGCCGAAAAGAATTCTTGAGGTATTTTGAAACAGAAATGGTTCGAAATTTAATAGTAATTTATGCGAATTTAATTCGCAAAAACAGATACAGAACAATTAAAAACATTCTACATAGAAATTAGAATGGAATGCTGCCCATAATATTTACAGTAATTTTTTTTTTGCAAAATACGGATACGAATTTTGGACATTTTCCGAAAGTACTTCAGCTTGCAATTTTTGCTTAAATTTATTTTTAAATTGGACTAATTATAATTAGTTAATTAATTTTAATTAATAAATTAATTATTTAATAATTATTAGGGGAGAGTGGGACAAACCGGATCCCCTAACGGTTTTTTGACTCTTGTGACTGAACGAATCAACCGATTTTATTTTTCGATGGCTTGTTTGAAAGATCATTTAATTGCGCAACTTTTTCCCAGAGACACCTATATTTTATCTTTTATTGTTTAGTTGCCGTGCTAACTTTAAAAATTTTTGCAAACGGTCCGGTTCTCCCCACCTCATGGGGTAAACCGGACCGTTTGGTTTTTTATTTATAATATTGCATTTACATAATCTACAATAATAAAAAACATAAACAATCATGTAAACAATGGTTCTAGTAATGAAAATAATAATACGGGGTCTGGTTTACCCACCGGTCCGGTTCGCCCCACTCTCCCCTAAACATTACATATTGGTCAAATTTACTTAAAAACATCAATGTTGGTAATGAGTCTGTCGATTTCTCTGAAATTTGGTGTATATCTAGTGTTGTGTAAAAGAAGAAAGAGGAACATTTTTTTCAAAATTTTAGGTTTTGCTCGGCATTAAAATTTAAAGTAATTTTTTTCAAAACTGCATGACTCTGGGACGATCGACTTTGTCATATTTATGTGACTAATAATTGTTATACCAACAACTTAAATGCAATAAAAAATAAAACAAAAATTTTAAAATTTGATCCAAAAATGCTTCTGCATCACACCATTTTTTGTAATTTTCCTCTACATTCTTAATGGTTCGATATTCTCCACAAATATGCATTTTAGTTTTTTCAGCGTAACATCAAGTGCATGGATACTTACAACTGTGTCCCATTATGCCAACCAAAATGATTGCCAATTTTAAGTCCGTAGCGATGTTTACTCTGAATTGACTTATGAATCCACGGTGGGCTTGAAACATTTTAAATACTTTTGACACATGCCCTTTCTAATTTTTTCAGAAAACGTTTCTCCACTACCTACAGAATTGATTTTAACTTGAATTAAAATCGCGTATTGGGCTGATTTTCTTAAACTGTATTTTTTTAATTCAATAAAAACTGTAAAAAGAATTTGTCAAAATATAAAGTTATGACTCTAACCGTTAAATTTCGCTTAAAATAGAATGTCAGTATATGTAATCGATTAAAAATTTCCAGTTAAACATATATTTGACGTTAATTGACCAAAAAATGGTAACAAAAAACTAGTAAAATACCCAAAAAAACAAAAATCGTGTTCAATAACTCGAAAGTGAATTAATTTATTCAACGACTCAGTTTTTTGTATTACAGTTGTTAAATAAACATTAATTTAAATCTTTGATGATTTACATTTACATTAAACATGTAAACTATTATATTCACATACAGCGTTGAATAGAAAGATAGGATACTTTTTAGCTTCGCATTTAACTTTATATTTAATCTATGTTTTATTGAAATCTGCGTGAAGAGATTCTACAGTTTGTTCTGGGTAATATCTCAATCCTTTTTGCTTATTGGTGCAGAATTCCATAGCGTGTTCAAAGAGAATGTGAGTTTTGGGAATTATTCTCAATTCGGCAGTTCAGTAAGCACTACGAAAACTTTGAATAGAACTTCCAAAATTTGGCTTCAAGTCTTCAGAGAAACAAGAATCCACGACCAATTTTAATTTCGAAAAACAATTCACGTACTTCAAACATCCCAATGTACATTTTGCTCGCAAAATGTCAATGTTTTTTAGTAACTTTGAGCAGCCATTGCCAACAAAAGCTGGAGTTCCCCCATAAGTAACTTGTCTTGATACCCTACAGGATTTGGCCCATTCTGAAGCATCGGTTTCAAACTCTTTCATCATTGTGTCAAATATTAAATTTACTATTCCAAGTAGCAAGTGTTACTCAGGAGGAAGTATGATGTTTATAATTTTCGTACTTTCATTAACAGCATCTCGAAAAACAGGATAATTAACACAATTTTTATAATTCTTGGCAAACTTTTTGGTAGAAGAATTTCGTTAAAAATTTTAAAAATTCTGCGAGATGTTAGCTATAGTACGGGCATTACCTTTTTGTCCCAAATGATTTCAAGATGTCTCACAATACAAGCAGGGAAACGTGTTTGCACAACTCATTCATCCCGATAATATGTTTGCTACTTTTAAGTCGGTTGAGATAGTGAATTGAGTTAGTAAATTCAAATTATGTTGATTTCACAGAAGAGAAACGTTTTCAAAGTTTTCTTGAATGCCTTCTGCTATTTCCAAAATAACAGATTTTTTAACACCAGAGTCCTTGAATTTATTACACGCGATTTCATCTTTGTAGCTTTGTCGATTTTGATTAATTTCTCGTAGCGATTGTTCGGATTTTTCTAATATTGATAAGCAAATTTTGAAAAACCTGCCACCGCCACCGCCATCCAATCCAATCTTCAAAATCACATCTTCAAAACCTCGTCGTGATTTTACAAAATTCATTAAATCAGCAACGTTGTTTCAAATCACAAAAGTTTTAGTACTGATCGAACATTTATTGTTTTTATGATGTGAAAATTCGTCACTCTTAACGGTAATATAATCTTGTAATGTGTAAGCTCTTTCTCGCAACTCAGCCAATAAATTGCTTTCAAAAAAGTTTCGATCATTCAGGGTCACGCGCAATGATGATGCTACATTTGTGCAATCATTAGCAGATAAGCCTAAATTTAATTTAATTTTTAACATATCATCAGTTGTGATTTAAACTTTTTTATTTGAGCTACTTGTGGTCTTCGAACGTAATTGTATTTGCATTGCTTTACCGTGTGAGCGAGACAATTTTATTTCTTTGTTATTTATCGAGTTTTTCTCAATTAATTTACAAGCCAAATGCTCTTCTTCTGACTTTGTCAATTCGCATTTAACACGATTAATTACATTTTTCACTTTCGTTGAGTTAACGCCGATATGTTTCTTACCTTTTCCTAGTTCAGGCAGACACTAAGGACACACTTTTTTGACTTGTATTTCTTTCATGGCGTTCTTCTTTCGGAACAGCAAACCATTTTGTGTTGCTAATTCGCAAAGAGTACAGGTGCATAAATTTTTAACATTTTTTCGAGCTGTTTTTAAGGCATACGTAAATTGTGAATACATGCGAATAAGAATTATCCTTACATGAACTCATTTTTAATTATTTTAAAAGAATTAAAAAATAAACATTTTTTTTAAAACACTTAAAACTGACGCGAACAGGCCGAAACAAGCTCAAACAGGAACTGTATATGTTTTGCAAATAACTTTTACACAATTATATGATTTATTAAATAAATTAAATTATTTAATTCAAGTGAAAATCAATTCTGTAGGTGGTGTAGAAACATTTTCTAAAAAAAAATTGGAAAGGGCATGTGTCAAAAGTATTTAATAGTATATTACATTATAAGGGCAGAAAGTTCGAAATTCCTGCACTGCGCGAAATGATGCCCGAGGCGAAGCCGAGGGCATTATCGCGTAGTTTAGGGCTTTCGAATTTCTGCCCGTGTAATGTATACTATTTTTCTTTATATGCGGTCGAAAGTACGCTGGGTAATTTATTTTTTAAGAAAATTGCAATCGAGTTTCATTTGACAGCCGGCCATCTTTATTTACTTTTGCTCCTCGCTTCAACGCCTCTAGCGGACACTCGTGAAGCTCTGGTTTTTTCTCTGTCTCTCTCTTGCAAACAATATTCGCCTGCCCCGACATTTGATGCACGAGCGAAGCGAGTGCTTCTGGTCGGGGGCAGGCACGAAAAAAAATGTGAAAGATAAATTAATATTATATTTTCAAAAGAATTTTTCTGGTGGTACAAAATTAATTCTATGTTTCTAAAATTCTAAACATTCTAATGAAAACACTTTCATTATTTCTTCAAATTATTACAATTTTATAATATCATTTTGGTACGTATTAAAAAAGAAATTACAAAATTATTAATTATTTTATTTTTGTTTTTACTGTTTATTAAAATAATTTTTGAAAATAATTATATCAGCAAAAGATTTCGTTCATTTCAATATTCAGAGCTTGTGGATAATAAATTTATAAAGTATAAAAAGTTTTCTTGATAATTTTTTTTCTTATTTTATATTGCGATAACAATTACTCGTTAAATTGTCATTGAACTCGAAATTTTCTTATTTACCGACAGTGGTGTTTTTACCGACAGAGAATTCTTTTACTCCCGCTGTAATAGAGGTTGGGTATGAAAATCAGCCAAAGCACAAATGTTTAACTTTCTGCTGCGAAATCGCAGCGGGAAATACGTACTTTCGACCGAGGTATGAAGAAAAAATTTTTTAAGCCCACCGTGAATCAAAACGCGTCACCGTGAATTAATGCCTTTATATTTTTGAAAAAGTCAAAACATTTATGAAAATCTGTAGTTTACAACGAAACAAAAAACCACGTTTCACTGAAAACCCCAGAAAAAAGAATTTTAAATTAATCCGGTAATTTTTTTTTTATTTTTTTCCGTCATTTTGAATTTTAAAAGTCTGAAAACTAAATTCAAATTCATAATCAAAGACCCCAAAAACCTCCGAGCAACAAGTTATTAAAAACGTAACTTCAGTCGCCATTTTGAATCGGCCATTTTCATTTCTATTTAAATCTATCACACTATATCAAAACTCGAACATTTTTGACTCAATACTTTTACCTGACAGATGTATATTAAAGTGGCAAATTATCCTAAAATAATGTGAAATGAAAAATTACCTTGAACATTTGTTTTTATTAAATAACAATCTGTAATTTGTTTATTTTTAAATTTGCAATATTTTCCGATACACTATTTGAAGGTTGATCTCTAATTTTTGAAGTCCGTGTACGTCCTAACTCAAAATCTACTGGACCAATTGTCCTGAAATTTGGTACAGTATTTCTTTACATAATTCCTCAGGTATTATCGGGAACTTTTAAAACAAATAATTACTTATTTTTAACAATAACAAATTAGGCGATTTTTTGAGTGAAAATTGTCTTTTTAGCTTACAAGTGCTACGAAAAATTGAAAAAAAATCCTCTCGTGAATACCTCGAGAGATATCTCCTGTAACAAATGCATTTTGATTTTTTTGTTTTAGATGATTCTGTTGCGAGTTTTTATGTACACCGCAGAAAAACTTTTTTCCGAGGCGTCTTCGTAAATTAACTATTATTTGTTAAATTTTCAATATTTTTCAATAAAAATTTAGGAAAATATTCTTCAAATGTTGCATTATTATATGAAAATTGACTTAATAAACTAACACTCTCTGTGTCGACAAAAAATTCTTAAAAACATGCATTTTTTTCCACCGAATTAACTACACCCCACCTTAAGCTACGAGAGGAAGAAGCAGAGTGCATTGATATGATTGCAGAAGAGATCATTAAGATGCTAAAGACTTGCGAGGTGTAGAAAAACGTCAACATGACCATAAAGGATGGACTGAAAGGTCTAAAATCGATCATTCAGAACGTACGAGAAAAGCACGATGAAGCGAGAAGGAAGGTTTCTATCAGGGTTTGGTCTGGTCAGAAAAGGCCTGCCAGGGCCGAAGACGCAGAAGGGATAGATTCAATGTAACAGCATTGAGAAACGTTGCTATTGCCTTACAGAAAAGAAGATTAAGCAGTCCTGAAAAGGAGATTGGACAAAAAAAAGAAAGAGGAAATGAAACCTCCTAAACCGGCTGCGGGTATTGTCGACAAAGCGACGAATGCAAACCAAGACAGAAACGTACTAAGGCTACCGCGACAATCAACAATGATTGTCAAGGTGGCAAAAGGAATAAGTTATGCTGATATCTTGGGAAAGCTCAAAAAAGAGTCTAAACTCACAAACAAAGGTGACCTTCTTACAAAAATAGAAGGATCACAAGGTAAGGAGAAGTTCATCGATGAGGTTACAAGGATTGTAGATGATCTTGGTATGGTGCAGGTGGCGGATCGAAAGGTAACACTGGAGATCCGTGATCTGGACTACCTTGCCGACATTGACGAAGTCCAGGAAGTACTAGTGCAGAATTTGGGAGTACCATCAGCTGATAGAGAATTGACGGTCCTAGGACCCAACAAGCGTGTCTTAAAGCTCTCTGTTAGAAAAGAAAAGTGCGGTGACAAAGTTGACGTCAACCATGTTGCAGGCAGTGGTGGATGCGGAGTCTTTAGGTCGGACCTTGAGGAGGCCAAAAATACTCTCACAAGTACCAAAAATAAAGAAAATGAAGAAAAATAGCACGGAAGGATCACCTTGGCGACAAAATGGATTAAAGGAAATAGACTTTTTTAAATTTTTATTTTTTGATTATCTTTTAGAACACTCACACAATCCTTTACTCCTGGCATTAATCTGCTGGCGTAATCCGACAAACAGAAATTCCGTACATTTTCAGTGGTGTCATTTGCAATCGTTTTAAATTTTTTTGACAGGCTGAGATGCGTAGCCGGAGTTTTTAATTGTTTTTTTGCAGCTGAAGCTATGCGCCACGAAACTGAGAACGTTTCACTTATTTTATAAATAGTAAATTCATTTGGAACAGTGGTTAAAACTTTTACATTATCGGATGTAGTTTTCGCGGCAGCTAAAGCAGTTTTACTATTTTCGAAGAATAATGAATCACAATTGTTGCTGTTGTCATTTTGTTTATTATTTTCACTAGTTCCGATAGATTCGTTTATTGCTGCAATTATCTTGTGGTCATCTTCAATAGTTTACTTTCCTACGCGTCTTTTTTACGTTAATTGACAATTTCATTACACTCAAATGTTGGATCTAATTTCTCAGAATCTGAAGTCTCATCATCATCCACTTTATCACCCGACGCTTGATTTGACAATATTTGTGCAACATTAATAGAGAAAAAAACTTTATTTCATGTGTAACAAACCGTGCGAACATATACTTGTGTGTTGTGCGTTTTTGTAATTTAGGCTTTAAAATAAAAATTTTGCAAAGGCTTTTTTGAGGTGTCAAAAAAAGAGAACTAAATTTAGAAGAAATTTGACAATGATAAAATAAGTTTACTAAAATGCAGAAGTTGTTGATAAAATGTTGATAAAATAAAAAACCTCTAGGCTAGGCGTTTAAATAGGAACACATTTGATGAGAAAACCAAGTCCCCAGAGAGTAACTGATTACAAAGGCTCAAGCCTTTGCAAAAAAACTGTCGCTCAAAACCAAGATGCAATTATTGCGGAGAGAGAGTTTCTCATGATAGAGCCAGTTTCCAGTCTGACTGCATAGTCAGGCGTACAGACAGGAAAGTTCAGTAGTTTCGTAAAAAAAACAATTGAAACCCTTCCATGCACTCAAAAAACATCAGACCTCATATTTGACAACCGTATAATAAAATACTTAACGAAAAACTCTAAAATAACTTGATAGATTAATTCAAATTTAGTACTGAGCCCATTGCGGTATTCGCTGTTTATCTCCATGATTAATGAGCAAGTAAATATTCTCGCTCCTAACTTCTCTCCCGAAACTATAAAACGCATCAAGAACATCCTTAAAACAATCAGAGACCCTTCAAACGCTGTTTAATACCAGAAACAATAGCCAATTTACAAAGACTTAATTAAATGCAATGGAATTGTCGTGACGTCTTTAACAAAACGCCCGATCTCAAATAACTCTCCCACCAATTTGACATTCTCTTACTTAGCGAGTCCTTTTTAAAGCACCATAAAAGAGACAATTTAAATACATTAAAACAACTTAATGTGATCAGACAGGATCGATTAGTGCACAAGGGTGGTGGTTTTGTGATCGCCATTCGCAAAACCTTGACTTTTACCAGAATTCGTAATATTTTCACTGCAGAGGATAAACTTTAGAATCTCGCAGTCTTAATCAACTTCTCAATAGGCGAAATGTTACCTACTTATATCAATTTATAGAGTCCTTGGTAAATAAACTGCTGTCAGATACTGGAATCTCCTTTTCAACTCAATTAAAAAGTCCATTTTGTACATCTTGTAGATTTTACAATTAACTTAGTTTGTCCCCAACACAAAAACACACACAACAATAATAATAGCAGAGGCCACCCAAAAAACTATTATTCCAGCATCGTGATGAAATAATAAATATAACGATGCTATGAAAGAGAGAAAAATAGGAATTCAAAATTACAAACTTCAGTCAAACTACGAAAATTTTTTCAAATACAAAAAATAGAAGCCATAGTTAATAGCCATTAAGTAATGCAAAGTGAAGACATCTCTAGACCTTGATAAAATAGCTTTCGACACTATTTAACATTTTCCGAAAGAAGCCTTACTAGTTCTTTTATTAATTCTCAACAGAATTATTTCTAACGGTCTCTTTCCTCCCTCTTGAAACAACTTTCTTATTTTCTTCATTCTTAATCTTCGCCAGGCAAATTCCGTCATATTTCCTTAGCCTGATGCTTACTTAAAGTTACAGAAACATTAATTTACAACAGACTTCTTTGACTCATTGAATGCGACAAAATTCTTAGTCCTTATCAGTTTGGTTATAGGAAGGGTAAATCCTGCTCGGACAACCTGTCATTGATCTCCACAGACAAATGGTCAGTTTTATCAAAAAGAGAAATCATTGGTGCATTGTTCCTTGATATAAAGGGAGCATTTCCTAGCGTAGTTCCGAATATTTTAATGGAAGATCAGAGAACATTGGAATTCCTGAAACAATAGCTCGTTATATTTACGAATCGATCAAATGCAAAAGCATGTTTAACAAAGTCAATAGCAAAACCATTGGCCCAAGTACTAGTTCTGTTAGTCCCACAGGGAAGTATCTTGAACTCGATTAATTTTGGGATTTATACTAGAAATTTTAACACTATTATTCCTGAAGATTGTAAAATCTACGAATTCGCTGATGACTGATCCATTATTACTCGCTCGAAAAATATTAACAAAGTTATAAGCACCTTACAAAATTGTCTTGACATAATTTCACCGTTTCTTTCAAATAGATACTTAGAAATTTGACCGAATAAAACTCAACTTGTTATATTCAATAATCAAAGGCTCAATACTAATGACCCCACACTTTTTTCCCTTAAATGATTCTATCATCCGACTTGACTATGTTAATTTCAAGGACTTAAAACTAATGATTCGAAAGTGAAATGTCCCTTAGTTGTAGCGCTAAAAATTTAGCATCTTTTATTTAAAATCCAACGCCGAGAGCATTCACTTGAATTTAAATAAAATAATTTATATGAAAACAAAGCAACCTTTACGTTCACAGTTTCAAATAAGTGTATATATGTATGTTTTTGCATACATTGTAAATACCTTGAGTTGCTTTCACGTTTCTTGGCTCTGAAAATACTACATCTGCCGATTTTTCGTATCGAAATTCTTCTTTTTCGTAGATGGATGAATTGTATGGTAGGTTGTAGTTGCACTTCAACACGTAACCGAGAGTCATGGATACCTCACCCTCCATCGGCAAACCCAATCCAAAAAGTACCTTTCACAGAATTTTTCTTAATATTTTCATCATAATTTTTATTACTTACTACCCAAGTAACACAGCGTATCATCTGAATGCTACTGAGATATTAAGAGGATATTTATTACGGTGGGCCAAAAAATAACTTTTCTTTAGAATCCTATTCTAATAATAGGAAAATGTTGCCTTTTTTCGCTCAATAAAATATGTGCAAAACAACAGTTTGATCCATGAACATCTTTTGCAAGAGCAGAAAACTAACAATTTTTCTTGACAATACAAAGATCATACATTTTTTTGTTATGAAATTATTATTATTAACAGCTTTTTGCCGACTTTTTAATGTCTTAAAGTGTTCCAAAGCAAACAATCATCTCGTAGTAGTTTTTTTGATGAATATGTTGATTTTGATATAATTCGATCTGGAACATTTTTGTTTGCAGCACTTAACTTAAGCATCTATTTTGCTCGTTGCTTTTGACTGAACTTCATGTCTTTTGTCACAAATAATCGCTATAAATATCTTTCGCTCAATGCATTCAAACGTCTGAATCCGTCTTTAAACAACATTGGAACGTCAACGCGTAGTAAAAACTCAAAAGATCTCTAAGAGGAAAATAGTTAAAAACAAGTAGTTTTATTGATTTTGTCAAAAAAAGTAAACGAAAATATTCCAGAGCGAAGTTTACCAAAATTAATATATTTAGCAAAAAACTACTTCAAGATAATAAATTGTTTGTTTTGAGACACTTTAAGATATTAAAAAGTCTGCAAAAAGCTGTTAATACTACCTACAATTTTATTGTTTTGCACATGTTTTATTGAGCTGAATAGGCAACATTTCCCCACTATTAGAATAGGATTCTAAAAAAAGTTATTTTTTGGCCCACCCTAATATTTAGGGGAGATTGGGGGATTGTGGGCCACCTCCATTACTTAATAATATTTATGAGTTTGATCATCCAATTTTTTTATATTTTTTTTTGTTCGTCCAAAGTAAATTTTTCATTATCATTTTATTACTTTACAACGCTTTATAATTACCTATAAACCGTAAACAAAAATTACCTAAAAAATTGCATGCAAATATTTATTTTTGGCCTTCATGTTTTTATGGTATTTACTAGGATTTACAAGAATAAATTATAAAAAATATTATTTTAATTATTGTGTGGCATTGGTACTTTAACTCCAAAAAGAAATTTTGAATCAAATTTAAATGAATAAATAATACAAAGCTTTTTGTAAAATGAAACATTTGGGGAATTGCAAAAAGCTCAATTTGTGTGCCACTTTTTTTAGGGAAGTATTTATTGCTTGTTTTTGGCGATTCAATTGCACAATGCAGAAACATATTATAAAAATCACTTATAGCTACAGTAATTTAACAAAAACAATTCGATTCATTGCGTTTCGTTTTCTTACTATTTCTTTTCTAATTTAAAACTAATAATTAAACATTTATAACATTTTTAATATTTCTAACCATTTAATAAATATATTTCATCGTTATTTTTTATTTTGAACTCAATTTAGACAGTGGCCCACAATTCCCAACATTTTTAAAAATCATAAAATTGGACTCTTTGGTAACACTGAAATTTCTTAAAGGTAATGCATATATTCTGTCCTCACGGTTTGACTGAATTTTGAATGATACTAAGGAAGAAAAATATTCACGGAGAAAAATAAATAGTAATAATTATACTTTTTCGATGAAAAATTACTACTTTCAAGTAGTAATTTTGAAACTTTTCAAGAAATAGTAACTTTTGATTCGTTCTTAAAGAATTTTTATTTTTTAAAAAGAGTATAATTTGCTTCAAGGAATATAAATTTTATTAAAATCTGAGTAATATTTAAAATGTCTCGAGCAATTAATACTCTAAGCGAAGCAACTTTTATTATGAATAAGAGCAATTATTACTATTTCGTAAAGATTTTTACTCAAAAAAGTAGTAATCCGTACCCACACAATGACGCGCTTTATACCGACAGGTGTAGAAACCAGTGCCGAATTTACAAATCTTACCGCCTTAGGCCACATCAATGATCCGCCCTACTTAAGGCAAATTTTTTTTTAATAACTCGTTCATAGTAAATGAAAATGTAAAAAAGATATTTTTTTCGGAAGTTTGCTCTTGAGATTAAGGTGAAATCACACATAGTAAACATTGACCTACGTTTTAAACGTTTGACTTCTGCCTTGGTGACAAATGTAGAAAAATTATAAAAAATTTTATTGTTTCAGTCAATTCCTTTACCGCCCTTAAAAACTTAATAGGCCAAAGCCTTATTGGCCTCTATTATAAATATGTCACTGGTAGAAACATGATACATAGACAAGTATTTCATGGTTGAGATTCAAATTTTTTAATTTTGGTATCGCATTGTTAAATTTTGTTATTGTTATTGTTTAATAGTGTTATATATTTTATAAATATTGTTGTCAATTCTTCAATTAGTGTGTCAATGTTGTCATTTTCGTTTCTTTTGCATTTTGTTTTTAAGAATTTTATTTGATCCTCAGTAAAATTTGATTTATTTGATTCCTGTGATTGATTTCCTTCTATCCAACAGGTGTTATATGTGTGACCTAGTCTATGAAAAGGGACTTAACGTGTAAATCATTTTTCACTGTTTTATTAATTCGGATAGAGTTTGAAACGCTCTTTGAAATGGTTAAAACCAATAAGTCGTAATTATTTTGTTTTGAAATTTTTTAAAAGATTGGTTAAAGTCAAGAGAAACAAGAGTACAAATACAAAAAAACTAATTTTTTTGTTATCATACAAATTTAAATAACAAGGGTTTTTCTAAGTTTAAACTTTAACTGCTAGGCATTTCTACGAAAAAGCGGACATTTCTGTCCGTGCATTACGACATTAAAAATAGTATATCTTTGATACATTATACTGTAAAATTGAAATTGGACAATTTTCTATATGCGGCATTTTACATGAAATGTCCTAAGTTGAAATTTCAACTTCTTGAAAAAAATTGAAACTCAGGGAATTTGTTGTTCTATCAAGTAGAAATGTGCCCCAAAAACATTTTTGATTTTTTCGAAAATTATGAGGGGGTAGGAGAGGGTCAATTTGACCAATTTTGCTAATACGGCTACTTTGTGAATTTTTTCTGAACATACTTGTAATGGGAAAAAATTTTTAGAATATGTGTCTGAAAGGTTTTTTCGTCCTCTTTCCAATGGTGTATTTTATTTTTTAATATTTTAAAAATTTACCCTAATTTTTGATAATTAATATTTAATTTTCAATTTCCCAAAAATTGGTCCGTTTTATTTGAAAATAAATTATTGCAAACGAAAGCTGAGGTTTTTTCCTATCGGCATGTAAATTTTCAGAATGACCTTTTTTTGTTTTTGAGTTATTAAATTTCAAAGAATAAATTGCGTCGCGGGCGCCTCGCCTCAAGCCGGTTGCTACGCGGCTCAGTGCACCGCGACGCAGCGCGCCGCAATTTATTCTTTAAAATTTAATAACTCAAAAACAAAAAAAGGGCATTCTGAAAATTTACTTGCCGATAGGAAAAAACCTCAGCTTTCGTTTGCAACAATTTATTTTCAAATAAAACGGACCGATTTTTGGGAAATTGAAAATTTAATATTAATTATCAAAAATTAGGGTAAATTTTTAAAATATTAAAAAATAAAATACACCATTGGAAAGAGGACGAAAAAACCTTTCAGAAACATATTCTAAAAAATTTTTCCCATTACAAGTATGTTCAGAAAAAATTCACAAAGTAGCCGGTGTTAGCAAAATTGGTCAAATGGACCCCCCTCTACCCCCCTCCAAAATTTCGAAAAAATTAAAAATATTTTTTGGGGCACATTTCTACTTGATAAAACAACAAATTCCCTGAGTTTCAATTTTTTCCAAGAAGTTGAAATTTCAACTTAGGACATTTCACGTAAAATGCGTCATATTTGATAATACATCATAATTTAAAAAAATTTATTTTAATAATAATTAGAGAAAAAGATACAGCCTATTTAATAATAGTGACGCACGGACGTTTTTCATGGAAATGCCCTCCTGTTTTCTCAAAAAACTTGTTTTCGCACGTAAGGTTCCTTTTCATAGACCAAGTCACATATGTACAATTCTGATTTATTAAAGCATGTTTGACATCTTATTGTATCTCGATCATTGGTTTTTTCTTTTATTTGATTTTTGCAATATTGCATTAGATTTTTCTCTTATTGCTTGTTTTGTTTTTAAATGTAGTGTAATTTTTGTCTACAATGCAATTGTGACAATAAGAATTGCATTTGTTATCATTTTATTTTTTTTTATTTTCGTCTGTCATTTTTTTCTAAATATTCTATTACTCTGTTAAATAGTGATTGTTCTGGTTTCTTCTTCTTGTTCTTTTTTTACTTGTTTCATTATTTTCATCAGAAGATATTGTTATTACTTTAATTACGTTTTGCTGTGCTTCTTTTTTTAGCAATCTTCCTTTCACTCATGTTGCACTTTTTTGTTTTTTCTTATTCTTAATAGTATTTTCACTTTATTTAAAAAATTTTAAACAGAGATTGGTGATGCTTTGTTCGTTTTTATCCTGATAAAAATAATTATTATTATTTATGATTAAAAATGATTTTAATTACAATTATTTTTTCTCACATAAATAATTTTTTTAAAAAAATAATAAACGACAGTATTATTAACTTAACCATTAAATTATTAGATTTATTATTCTGATTATGTTTGTCTCTAATGTTTACAAATTAAAAAATAATTACGTCAATAAATATTATAATATTTCTATACAAGCAGTGGTACGGATTACTACTTTTTCGAGTAAAAAGTTTATTCTGCAATATTGAAAGTTATTTATTGCAGAAGCAATCTTTATTTTCTGCAATTTTAACTATTAGAATTTGTAAGTGTAATATTTAAAACATATTGAATGTAAAAAGTAATATAAAATTTAATAAAATTTACAATGACGATATAAAATTTAAAATTCTTAAATCAATTTCTATTACATCTGTAGCAATAATTAAAAATAACTGAAGTACTTTTTTGATTTTTAGTATCTCTTTAACATTTGCAGCAAAAATTGAAACAGTAAAATTAACATAAACGCTAAAGTTACTAAAATCCCTAATCGAGAGTTTTTGCAGTCGCTGATTTTAAATCCAATGTGAGTTATTAGAATTTCAAAATTGTGGACAAGTTTTTAAAAATCGATCAAATTTGTCTCCAATTCGTTACTCCGAGCTTTACGGGGTCACTGATTACGAGTCCGATGTCAGATTTCGAAAATTCAAAGAGGTGGATTCAATTTGTGCGAATTCGATCGATTTTTAAAATATCATGCCCACCATGTTGAATCCACCTCTTTGAATTTTCGATATCTGACATCAGATTCGTAATCAGTGACCCCGCCATTTTGAAATATTAAAAACTGTTATTGGATTCGAAATCAGCGACACCAGATACCCTTGATTAGTGATTTTAGTAACTTTAGCGTTTATGATAATTTTACTGTTCGATCAATTGCCAAAAATCATCAACATTTTTCATGAAATGTAATGTTTAATCGACTGTAACTCTCTCAATTTTTGTTAAATTTTATTCTATGACCTATGGACCAAAAGGTAATTTAATTAATTAAGGGTCTGATTTTTGGAAAATTATATAAAATAATATTAAATAGAAGATGAAAGACGTACTTGAACTTTTGTTTCACTGCCTTGGGGGTTCGGAAAGAGCAAATGCCTTTTATTCCTGAGAAGATGACCGATATCATATTTCTCAGTGATTTCCGATCCTGAACACAAACTCCAGAATGTTATATACGTAGAGAAAAGCGAGATCAACCAATTTGTCATAATAGTGAATGATATTGAATTCTTTCCTTTCTTTCTATATATTCGATTATCGAAACAAATTAAAAGAATAAAAAATGAAAATATAGAGGCTAGTTAAATATTATTATTCTTATTACTATTGCTATTATTGGAATGTCATTATGTGCGCTTCACTTAACGTTCGCAAAACCTCTTTATAACTGTACTAGTAAGAAACGAATACTGGTTGTACTTTGTCACTGAATAAAGACCAGTTCAAAAATTTCGTGTCCTGTGATGACATGGTCTTTAAAATTAAAACATGGTCCAACGGCGGATTACGTAAGAGTCTTTTTATTTTGTCTATACTGTTTTCTATAAATTCATTAAATAAATTTTAGAACTAGGTCAGTCCATGCTTAAAAAATCAATGTTGTGTACTACTTTTTCGATTTTCTTAAAACTTCGAAATTTTGTGGTGGAATACATGCCAGTAAAAAGCACAAAATTGATTTTAAAAAATTTTAGATTTATGAGGTTTTTAAAATTTTTTTTAAAATTTTGAAAATTATATATTTCTAAGAAAAATGAACGAAATTTAATGAATTTTTCAGTAAATTTTTATTACTTTTTAAAAATTTTTAAAAATTTTTAAAAATATTTCGTACAAAAATTTTTTTAAACAAATAAATTAAAAAACAATTTTAAATAAACAAATTTTTGAAAAATGCAATTTTTTTTAAAAGAGCACGTGGGGAATTCTGTCATGTATTTCACCGCAAAATTTCAAAGTTTCAACAAAATCGAAAAAGTAGGGAACACCCTTGATTTTTAAGGCATAAAATATTCTGTAGGAACTAATTTCTGTTTCAGAGTTATCACAATTATTGCAATGATAAATATTCTAAAAATATTGGGAAAAAATCAAAATTCAGAAATGGCCAATATTCTTCATCGACCAATTAGATCTTTGACGTTTCCCTCCACGAGTACAATGGGTGTTTGTATTTTTTATTAATATTCTACAAAGTAAATGTAAGCACACTAAGTCAGAAATAATACAATAGCTAAAACCAAACTAAAAATTAAAATTTTACTGCAAATTCATGAAATATTATTCTAATTTTAATAATATTTTAATATTTTAATAATTTTAACAGTAGAAATTTTAATTAATTTTAATTACTAATCAATTTTGTACTCCTTCTGTGTTAAAAAATAAATGTGTGCATGGAAATTTTTATCACGATTCTTTTGAATTAACAATAAAATTATCAAATATCAACAGATATTTTTTGCATTAGCTGTACCATTAGAAGCTCCACAAAATTCAATTTCGATGTCTTACTTTTTCGAAGCCACTTACGGTCTTCCAAACAACCTAACTGATTTTGGTTCTGTAAGTAAGTCCTATTCTCAGAGGAAGAAAAGGAGCATCGACAGGAAAACCATTTATGAACTCATAGAAAATAAATTTACAAGGTAAAGTAAATTTTTATTTCATTTATGTTATGAATTTTAATTTAAATGGTCTTTTGCTTTAGCTAATACACATGTTACAAACACAAATTATTATGAATAAATAATAAAATTTATGTTTTATCTAACCTGTTACAATAGTCTTATTTTGAAGGCCCTCTGTTTACATTAAACCACCTCTATTAAAACACAAAAACTTATTTACTTCGAAAATAATATTTTAACTTACACTGTGTAAATAAACTTGTTTTTCAAGTAATAAAGTAGGAAATTATTATTAAACAATTATTAGTTAATAAAATATAAGATTATTATATTGAAAATTCCTTGTTATTTCGTGAAATTCAAAATTCAATACAGTGACTCATATTCACTGTATACACATGACATTCACAACAAAAATAGTTTATAATATATGTAACACTTTAAATTCTTAATCACATCGGAATATAAGAGTTGACACCAGAAGCAAAATAAATCACAAGTTTACTAATTTTTAAAACTTCTTATTGCAATGTGAAAACATTATTGGGGTGTTCTATGCACAGGGTTAACTTCGAATCTCAGATTTTCTTTATAATTTGACATTTTGGTTTCTTAGGGGATGTACATAAGTTGTAAAAAAAGTTTTTCCAAATTTTAATTTTGCAAGATATTGTTTTTTAAACTTTTAAGTTTTTTTATTTATTATTTTCTTCTCCTAAAACCATAAACACATAATGAAATATAAATGATGTTCGAAAAGTATTTAAAGCGGTATTCTTATTTTATATTTTTATTAACAAAAATATATAAGTACCTTAAAAAATTAAGTGTATACATTTTTTATTTTTAGTTCTGGATTTTCCGGAAGAGGATGTCTATTGAGGTCAATCTGTGAAACATCTGAGCAGTCACTACGACACAATGGAGTCTTAGGAGATGTATTTCATGTTCTTTTCACGTGAGTTTCTACATGAAAATTACCTATTTTATAATCCTGCTTGCTCTCTAATATGAAGATATTTTTTCAAGAACATAAAAGTAAAAATTCTAGAAGTGTCCCTCCAATTTTTACAAAGTTGCAAAACTTAAAATAACCTTCTGTATTTTTAAGTACAAGTAGATAATAACAACAATTCATGTCATTACTTCATTTATTAAATAGACAACGTTAACTGAGAGTAGGTTGCACCAAATTAAATATTTCATTCTGCACGTACTAATGATGAAAATAAAGTAAAAATTTTATTAGTTGTGGAAGAAAAGTAATTTTGAATATTTTTTTCTTGAAAAAAATTTCACATTTTTTTCCACTTACCCGCGTAAAAAATGTTGGCTACATCAAAGCTACCCCAAGTCTACCTAAAGGCTACCTGAAGGCTACTTCAAGGCTTAGACTTAAAGTTGATGAAGGCTCAAAGCGTACCTTTAACTAAAATTTTGCTCAAGACTCGCTTAACCCTTAAACCGCACACTTCTGAATCCATCCTTAAACCGCACACTGGGTGTGCGACACCCGGGGACTTTAAAGTGTGTTCTCCAAGCTGGAAAAGGATATTATGTTTCAGAAAAATTATCTTATGTACCTCAGTACATATATTTTGAAGGAAAATAAGTTTCATAATGATTTATTTAATCTTAATAATTAAAAAAGTGTTTTTTAAATCTACTGAAATCACCTTAAACCGAAAACTGGGTATCAGCCACCCAGAAATTTTTTGCTGTTAACTACATAAAGTTATCAAACACACAAAGACACTTGGGAGACAAATCTCCCTCACGGAACATAAAGTTAAGTACAAAATGTGACGTCCAATAGCGACATATGTTCAATTTTTACGACTTTAAACGAGATATTAGAGTAAAAAGCTAGAATATGGGTGTCGCACACCCAGGGTGCGGTTTAAGGGTTAAATCTCTAAGCTGACATGAAGCTTAAAGCGAACCTGAAGCTAAAAATTTGTGTAAGATTTGAAAATCATGTAAAGCTCAAGGCTTGGCTGGAGCCTAAAACTTAAGACTCATTTGAGACTTACAGTATATGCCGTACCTAAAAATAAAAACTCGCGGAAAGATTTGAGTCTCGCTTAAGGCTTACTTAAAGCTTATGGCTTGCTTAAAGCTAAAAACTCGCTGAAGACTCGTTGAAGACTTACTTAAACGCTTAAGTTTGCTTCAAGCTTATATTTCATTTAAAACTTAAAACTAGCTCAAGGCTCGAATTCATGATTGGTTCAAGTCTAGCTCAAAACTAGTCTAGTTAAAAAATCATTTAAAACTTTAAGCAAAGACAACAATCACAAACTACGACAACTTTAATTTGCTTATGTTTTAATAGAAATGAAAATATTTAGCAAATCAAAATATTGATTATTTCATTATATTTTATTCCAAATAAAGGTTTAAAAAACTATTGATATTTTTTAAATTTAAAAAGCTTAAAAAGTTATTTAATTTTAAAAATTGTTAAATTCCTTCAAATTTAAAAAATTATAATTTTGTAAAAAAACAGTTATTCAACGTTAAAAATATTTTTTATTTTTCTAATCTTAATAAATTTAAATAATATAAGAAATTATTAACTTATTTTTAACAATGTTTCCGATGATTTCGCAAATTATAAAGATTATTTATTTATACACTCGTCTTTTTCCCTTAATACAAGCGTTTACAAGTGTCCTCGAGGAAATTTTCTTACATATAACATTTTCTTATATATTATTCTAAATTTTTGCGCCTACAGAACGACTTGAAAATTAGGAGTACTAGCATTTGCCTGGACCACCCGTCTAATGGGTTTTCTCGCCAGTGGAGAGGAAAACTGTAGAAAACTATATATATATATATATATATGTATAACGACGTCTAATATACTTCAACGTCGAACCTCCCGCTTACATTATCTCACGTGCCGGTAAAATACCAAGCCAAATGGGCGCGAACCAAGGGTGCTTACTAGGGTGTCCCAAAAAAATAAAAAAGTTTTTTTTTATTGGGTCTTATCCCCTAAAATCCTTTCAAATTGTGTAAAAATAAGAACACAATATTTGTAAATAAAAATTTTTAATATTAACCCGTTGTTCAGACCCTTTGAACCATAAAAACGCTAAAAATTTAGTGTTTTTTCATTTTTAACATAAATATAAATGTCAAAACATAATGAATAGGGTGTCATTTTAAAGATAATTAAATTACCTTTCGATCCATATGTCACAGTATAAGATTCAATGAAAATTAAGAGTGTTACAGTCGATTAAAGATCAAATTTCATGGAAATTTTGATGATTTTTAGACACTTAAGTAACTTGTACTTTTTTCACATTAAACAGTAAAAAATATTAAGATTTTAATTTTTTTATTGAGAGTCTGCAACATTACAAAAAATTTTAGCCCTTGCGGACCTCGATTTGATTTAAAATGACAATGATACAGTAGATTTAGTGAACGAAACTATTTTTTTCATTTTTATCATTCCGTCAACATTTGCAGCAAAAATTAAAACAATAAATTTGGATATAACCACTAAAGTTACTAAAATCAGTGATCAAGAAATACTGAAGTCGCTGATTTAGAGTCCAATGTCAGTTTTTCAAATTTCAAAATGGCGGAGAATTTTATAAAAGTCGATCGAATTCGTCTCAAAATCAGGTAACGGATTTTGAGACGAATTTAATCGACGATCAAATTATGGATTTTTGTAATGTTACAGACTCTCAATAAAAAAATTAAAATCTAAATATTTTTTACTGTTTAATGTGAAAAAAGTACAAGTTACTTAAGTGTCTAAAAATCATCAAAATTTTCATGAAATTTGATCTTTAATCGACTGTAACACTCTTAATTTTAATTGAATCTTATACTGTGACATATGGATCGAAAGGTAATTTAATTATCTTTACAATGACACCCTATTCATTATATTTTGACATTAATATTTATGTTAAAAATGAAAAAACACTAAATTTTTAGCGTTTGTATGGTTTAAAGGGTCTGAACCACGGGTTAATATTAAAATTTTTTATTTCCAAATATTGTGTTCTTATTTTTACACAAATTAAAAGATTTTTAGGGGATGAGACCCAATAAAAAAAAACTTTTTATTTTTTTGGGACACCCTAGTGCTTACCCTTGGTCCTAAAACGTTCACCAAGTGAGAAATCTATCCGACTGAGCTAATCTGTCGGTATTATAAATATTATAAATTATATTTAATCATAAACGTGTCATAGCTATCAAGTTTCCAGCGTCGAACATAGATAAGGCTAAACGTCTTGATTCGTGACGAATAAATGAAAGATAAGTGGGAGTATGGCTGTAATGCTAACGAAAACGAAATTTTGAATTTAGATGCGTGCGAAGCTACAACCCGCACAAATGTATTGCTTTTGTATAAATATATTGGAGTAAATTTCTTTATATTTCCCCTTCTGCTGTTTTCCTCAACTGTTTGTCTCAATCGCGCAAATTGATTGTTAACAACTTTGATGTAGTGTTCGAATTCAAATGGTGGACCTTCAATTCGATTATGCACAAAAACTAGATATATGGATAAAGATCGGAACAAACAATAGTATTAATAATAAAGAACAGGGTATACAATTAAATCTTACTAACTGTATTATGAGTACTCTCTAAATCTGAATATGTAAAAATTCACATATTTGTAAGTTATAAGTCGTTCTCTTGTTCAATAAGTGCATATACACTTATAATAAGTGAAATTTCACATATTCAGATTTAGAGAGTAGATTTAATAATTAAGAAATATTTTTTTACTGAACACCGCATTCAATGTATCTCTAGGTGTTCGCTCTCTTCCTCTTTTTTCCATAGCAGTCTTGATTGTAATTGGTCTTTTCTAATCAATTCTATCAAAAGACGTCTCACCATTTCTTCTGGATTATAGGTCAGACTCAAAACATCGTGAATGATAGAGTTTTTGACATAAATATTTTCAGTTTTTGTCAACTGCGTATGGCCTTCAGTTTTCACGGATATTGATGAGGGCTAAATAAAATTCGGATATTTAAAATTATTATTATTACTAACCATATGTAAGTGAATACATAATCATTATGTATTCACATTATATATATGCGAAGAATACCATTACTGTATTTGAAGAACAGTAATACAGTATGTACTAGGGTCGCCACAGATCAGGGAAATTAAGAAAAAGCCTAGGAAAGTAGAATTTATTAAGGAAATCAGGAAAAAGTCAGCAAATTTTATTCAAAGTTCAAGAAAAAATTAAATTCTTGGAATTCATAAAATAATTCTGAATTTTAGTGTTTAAAAAGATTTAAAAATTTAAGGGGCCATATAAAGTCATGAGGCCAAAAAAGTCCCTTTTTCTTGATTTTTTTTCTTAAATGGTTCAATATATTTATTCAAAAAGTTTTGATTTTTTAGAGAAGTTTAAATTTTAACTAGTGATTTTTGTTTTAAAAAATCGACTATTTTTTGTTGTAAAATGTGTCACAATAATTTTAAAAAAATCCTTCGTCCACCCCCAAGAGAAAGTATTCTAATAACAAAATCTTTTTTGTTTTTTGATATCAGATAATCCTGGCTTCTGTAATCGTGTCTACTGTTACGTCACCGTAACCTATTTTCAATAATAATATGCAGAATAATAATTAATCTTAATAATTAATAATAATAATCATGTTAATTAATAATATTAATAATAATCAATAATAAATTGTAATAATATTATCAAATAATAACAAACAATAATAAATTGTAATAATAAACATAAACAATAATAAATTGTAATAAATAAGTTAAATATAACAATCTTAACAACAATCTTTAAGAAATAATAATAAACAATAATAAATTGTAATAATAAATATTAACAAATAATAACAAAATGTAATAAATAGTTAAATATAACAAATATAACAACAAACTTTAACAAATAATAATAAACAATATAAATATTAAATAATAGAATTA